ATCCCTTTTCAGTTCACTATACTGACTACGGGGAATTCCCTTTTCAGGTTCAGCCCCGCAACTCTCCTTAGCATAGGCCGTGGAGAATTAAAGTACGAGGGAAGAGAGGAGGGACCTAGCTACTAGGGATACTCTCAGGATTGAGGAAATCCGCCATGTGCGTAATCCTCTAACTAGGGGAAACTCTCTACACCTATCATCATCCAGCTAAATAAACTGCTCGCTGTGGTGGTCCTCTCCCCGCTCGCCGCTTCCCCGGGGTCCGGGTGGCGCGGCTTATATTTTTTGGGCTCATATCTATACAGCTGTATCACAAAAGCAAGTGGCCGATGCCGCTGCCATCACCTACACAATCTAATAACTTTTTCCGCGCGCGGCCGCCCCGCGCGCGCTTTGGCAGCCCCCCCCCGCGGCGGCGTTCCGGACACTTCTACCGAGGCGATTTCCAAACGACGGCGGGGGGGCGCGAGAAAGAGCGGTCGACGGTTTCGCGGTTTCCGCGCGGGGGCCCGACGGCGCGGTTCCCGCCCGCCGCTGCGGCCCGCGCCCGGCGCGGCGCGCCCCCCGCGACCCGTGAGGAGGTGCGGGGCGGCGGTTTCGCCCGCGCGACGCGCTCGGGCGCCGCGCGGCCCCGGCCGACTCGATCGGGGATTCGTTCGGGCCCGGTCGGGCGGCGGACGGATCGCCCGCGGCCCGCGCGCGGGGCGGCGGCGGCGCGCGCGCGCGGCCCGCACCCCGCGGGGTCTCGGGACGCCTGCGCCCGCGCGGCGCCGACGTCGACCGGGGCGCCGCGGGCGACGCGCTCGGCGATCGGCTCCGGGCCGCGGGGCCGGCGGCCGGGTCCGTCCGACGGGCCGCGCGGCGGCGGCGCGCGCGCGCGCCCCGGGCCCGGCGAGGTCGTGGACGCCTTCGCCCGCGCGGCGCCGACGTCGACCGGGGCCGCGGGCGACGCGCTCGGCGATCGGCTCCGGGGCGCGGGGCCGGCGACCGGGTCCGTCCGACGGGCCGCGCGGGGCGGGGGGGGGACCTGACCATTTCTATGGGTCAGAGAGTATCTGCGGCGGCCCGGCGGCGCGACGC